TGGATATGCTCTTTAAAGTCATTTTTTTTGACATGATGATGACCTGTAGTTCTGGTTCAACTTGCATTTTTTATCAAATTTTGTTATTTTGTCAGATGAAGCTCCAAGCAGAGAAGACAGGACGCAAGGGCCATTTATCTGTTGCGACAGAGGTTTCTTTGTGGATCTAGAGCACCTTTTTCTTAGTGATTCCTTTTGACACAAAATATTGAGCTCTGGTTATAATTTTTTAATCACAGATATATGAGGCCATTTATCTGTTGCAACAGAGGTTTCTTTGTGGATCTAGAGCACCTTTTTCTTAGTGATTCCTTTTGACACAATATATTGAGCACTGGTTATAATTTTTTAATCACAGATATATGAGGTGGCTCCTTCACTCTTCATGGTTGAGCTTCGCAAGGCTGGAGGAGATACTTTGGAATTTCACAAGGTTAGGTTCACAAAAATAAGCAGCATCTGCGACTTGAAGTAAATGTAACGGCCTCCATGTACCACTGATTGATAATTTATATGTATATGCAGGCACACAAGCACATACACGTGCTTATTTAAGTGGCTTTAAGATGACAAAACAGAAAAGCGAAGTGCTTTTCAAGATGTCAATGCCATGTAGACTTGGCATAGAATTATCTCCTATGTGTGAACTATGTGGTCTTTAGTTCTGCACAGAAAATTGCTCTGAAGGATTTTATATATGTCATTTGCTTGTTTGCAGCTACTTATTTTGCTCTTTTTTATTTATATGCAGTTCTACAAGAACCTTTCAACTGGGTTGAAGGATATAGTGTGGAAAACCGGGGATGAAGCAAAGGAGGAACTGAATGATGGTTTGTAACTCAATGCATTTCTATTATTGGATTATTGATATAAAAATTTCAATTGCAAGGTCTTGTTTCATTTCCTAGTTGTACAATGGTACATTGGGATTTTATTGCACGCAACTAAATTATGGTTTGCTTTTGCAGAGCCTAGAAATAATTGAAATTTCTGTCTCGTTAATGACTAATTCCTTTTGGCTGCTGGCTTCTCTGTCTTATGGATGTTAGCCATAAATATTCCACTTGGTTCATGTATATGATGTGCATGGAAGTCGGTTCTATTCTTCTTACTTCAAAACTATTGCCTTTGTTTTACGGTCTTCAAATTGTCTTCCATAACAGAGACATGTATAAGTTACTAATTTGACGTCTTCAGTTATTCAGGAAGAAAACATACTTTTGCATCCATTAACCAGTATCATTTTTGCTCATGTAGCTTGTTCTTTAATACACAGGGGTTGCTGGCATCTCAGCGTCGTCATCATCTTGACATCTGAGGGTCCTTTCAAAGTTATTTTTGTTGGGATTGCACGTTCTTTTAGATGGTTATTCATCTTCTACTAGATTTGTGTATTATGGTGTGGTTATATCTGAAGGTTCCAAGCAATGATTGTTTGCGAGTTACTCAGCTATGTGAAACATAAATTGTAGTAAGGATTATAATTGCAAATGTTAAAAAAGCAAATAATACATGACCCATGTTCAGGAATCATTTGACTAGCAGACCAAGATTCTTCTCTTTTACCTTTGCGCTGTCTTTTTTCTTTGGCATTGTGGGATGGTGAAGGAGATGTTGGTCTGAGGTGAGCCCCAGACTAAAACCTTTTGCACTACCGTGTCAAACCTTTTTGTCCATTTCAGTTGTTTTCATTTGCAGGGTTTCCTGTTGTTTGTCCCATACCCAGACAACCATCTCCTCCCTCTCTGTACATCCGAGACAAAAAGAAAATAATAGAAGAAAGAACAATGATGCTTTCCTCAAAAATCAAAGAGTTCTGGGGAAGAGTGGGAAAAAACGAGAGAAACAATATATAGTTCTTCACAAGGGTTTAATGTGTCTAGGCATGGTAATAGGTTAGGTTTGGAACCATCAAACATTGATTTAACTTGTTAAATGTATTAGATAGATTCAAACCCTGATGGATTTAATGGAAAAAGACTATACTCAAATCCTTATAGATGTAGGTAACCAATAGGCCATGATAAGATGTAATTAGGTTGGACTTGCTAATTGATACGGTAACATAGATAAATATTTGCAGTATGTGTCTATATTCTAATTAGGCTTTAGCAGGGGTTGGTTTGGATAGTAAAGATTCATACCTTGATGAGGTTTATAATTATATTGTAGGACTTGGTCCCGGCTAAGGTTTGGGTCTTAAAAAATTTAAATAGAAGGCATTATATAATGGATCCATATAATTATATTGTAGGACTTGGTCCCGACTAAGGTTTGGGTCTTAAAAAATGTAAATAGAAGGCATTAAAAATATAATGGATCCATGTTGTATGTAGATATAACCTACTCTATTGACATGTCAGTGTGTATCCAAAAATTCAAAAATTAAGATAGACGTTGTAGAAATATAAGTGAAATCTAAAACTCGACTTGACTCAACTCGATTTTACGTGGAGATTGCATTAAGTTTGAAGCATTCAAGTTAACCTTGAGCATCGTTTCTGGAAAAAAAAAAAAAAAAAAAAAAAAAAAAGTTAACCTTGAGTGAAAAAGTATCACGTTGGAAAGCTTACTAAACTTAATTGACCCTTAAGTAAACATATTATTCATCTTTTTAATACTTATTCACGTAAAATGTTTATCTTATTAACATATCTAGTTTATTGGGGAATGCCCTTGTTTTCAATTGGGCTTCAATTGCTGACGTGGCTCGCTTTCATTGGTTGATTGGTGGTCATCCAGCCCGTGGGAATTCTCAATTGATGGTCGTCCAGCCCGTTTGCCAATTGGACGTCTGCCTTTTCGTTTGCTTGGACGCCTATCAATTGCTTTTGTTTCTTTGTTTGTTGTTTGCTGGGGAGTGTTCCGATAAAACTTGGTCTCACGTTGCCGGCTAAATCGCAATTATTAATTGTTATCTTTTATTGTAATTATTACTTTAACTGTATTCATTATTATTAGTTACTTACTAATTCGTTGTTAGTAACTAATTAATGATGTCATTTTTTTATTGTCACTTTTTTTATCCAATAAATCGCATTTAATTCATAATTTTTTTGCAATTATTAACAAAAAAAAAATTTTTTGGTTGTCCAAAAAAATCTCATTTGGTTACCTTTTTTCCCACATTCTTTTAAGAAAATGTCCTCTTTTTTTTTTTGGGGTTGCCCAACAAATTAGGTTTACTCATCAACTTTTTTTCAATCCATTTTTTATTAATTAACTTCTGGTTTCACGTTTTTTAGTCGGACAAATCGCATTTAATTACCGACTTTATAATTATTATTATATTTTTTTTACCTAACAAATCGCATTGAATTATCAGTTGTATGTAGTTATTAGCCAAAAATTAGTCTCTTTTTTTTTGTTGCCAATCAAATCATATTTGGTTGCCCTTTTTAACAATTAGTAATTGCTAATTAATTAATTAGTATTGTTACTTTTTTGTTGCATAGAGAATCGCAATTAATTACCAAATTGTTGCTGTTAATTGTTAATCAATTAATATGTCTACATTGCTCCGCTTGAGAAAAACGTTTCTCGTTAGTCTTTTCTTCTTTGCTTTTGGCCATCTTAATAATTAATTGACTCATAATTAACTAATCTTATAAATTAACATGCTTTAATTACCAATTCTTTGCAATTAATTATGGACAAATTTTATTTGTTTAGTTTAAATCCGTACTTTCTCGATTTCTTCATCCACCGTTTCGCATTACTTGTCATCAACCTCCTTTTGTTGACAGGTTATTGTACCTTGGCTAAATAATGCCTGTCTTATTTTTATTATGTTGCCCATCCGTTGTACAATTATCAGTGCTTTCTTTTGGTTGCCGAATAAATCACGACTATTAATTATTATTATTTTATTGTACTTATTGCTTTACCTGTGTTCGTTATTACTAGCTATTACTTAATTATTAATAACTAATTAATCACGCTTTTTTTTTATTGACATTTTTTTTTACCCAACAAATCGTATTTACTTCATAACTTTTTTGCAATTATTAACAAAAAAAAAATTTTGTCCAAAAATCTCATTTAATTACCTTTTTTCTTTTCAAATTTTATTAAGAAAATGTCCTCTTTTAGCCAAAATTTAAATTACCAACTTTTTACAATTATTGAACACTTTGTTTTTAAAGCACAATTAATTATCAATTTTTTGTAATTGATATATATTAACCATTAAACACCCACGTGGCGTGTGAAGATTGGCTGGTCTTGATTATGTGGAAATGCTTATTAACCATATATTGAGGGTCTTTTCTTTCCCCTGGTAAACCGACGGCAGCTTCTCTTCTTTCTTCTTTCTCTGTCTTTCAAAACATAGCAGCATCAATCGATGTCAAGAGCTTTTCTTTGCTTTTGTCCTCTGGACAAAACTCCATTTTTTTTATGAGACCCAGAGGTCTCCCCTCAATTTCTGGCATTTGATTGTACTTGGAAGAGATTGTAATCTCAATTGGAGGGTCCGAATTTTTCCTTCTGCAGAGTGGTTGCTTAGGATTTGATGGACGATGGGCTCGAGACAGAAAAGGGGTGGTAATCTTCTTCCCCTTCCACTCCCGGTTTCTCCCAGTTCTCCCTCTTGTTCTTCTTCATCTTCCTCCCTCCCTCGAGTAGTTAGGGCTAATTTTTTCTGTTTTCCTATCATTTTCCTGATATTTCTATTTCATTGGCTAAAAGCAGCAAATCTTTTTTTTTTCTCATCTCTGTCGTGTCCTTTTGTGAAACAATAAGGACGGGGAAGGTCAATATTTCATCTCCACTATCTGATGTGAATTTCTAGAATGCAGATATATGGTACTTTTCTTCCCCTTTCTTTCCATGATTAATGTCTCTGTTTTATTTCTGTTTTATCATTGATTTTTTATTTTTAATCAGAAGAAAAACTTTTAATATGGTCTGAGATGATGAATAATTGATGATTAGCTAGCTTTTAGATATTTATTTACTTTCTTTTTTGTATCTATTTGGTGATTTATTGTTCCATTTTTCGTTTTTGTCTTGGATTTCTTCTGGAGTTCGGAGTAAAAATGGCCACTTGTGAAAAACAACTGGTGAGTGAAAATGTAAGTTTGCTGCATCAATCTGATTTAATTTTTCCCTCTTCCACGCCTGGTTTAGGATTTGATGGATGATTTTTTTTCCTTTTTTTTTTTGTTCTTTTGGTGCTACTTTTCCAAGTATATTATTGGTTGTTGTTACAGGAAGGAATATGAAAACTTGAAGTTGACATCTCTAAGAAGTAGTTAAAGCTGGTAATATTTATTTGTATTCTACTATTTATACTATAAACCAATGTCTTTTTCTATAAATGGTTTCTCTCACCTAATTTAGCCTATTTTTGTTTATTGAGGTTGTTGTCAGAGAAAGGATAAAGGTAAAAGTGATTGGAATAATGAGCAAATTTCTTCCAGTGTTTTGTGTTTTGGGTTTTATTGTGTTTGTCAAAGAAAATTAGTTACAAGTATCTTTTTCTTCTGTATCTTCTTTTTTTCCCTTGGCTGGCAAACATAATGAATCTGTTATATAAACTACTTGGTATTCTTCGTAATGTCAAGATTTGGGAAGCTGTATGATGAAATCTTTATTTCATAGTCGATTTTTCTGGTTTTGTGGTTTTAACGTGCAAAGTGAAATCATTATTATGACTAACTTCCTTGAAGATGTTTTGATCAGTTCATGATTCATGAGATACATAGTTATATGAATTACATAAATGGAGTTTCAAAAGCAAAATCCATTTAATCTACTATGAAGATACCATCTTTCCTCTTTTAAATTACTAAAAAAACTTGGCTCGATCTTTGACTGGAAAAATTATGTTCAGAAAATAGTATTCCTGTGCGTCACACAATTGACATTTGATGTTGGACCCAATATTGCATTTAAAAAAAAAAAAGAAAAATTGGAAAATAATGCATAGGAACTTCTCTAGAATTTGCTTCCACATATATGTACAATGTTTTGTTCCCTTTGGGGAAATTTCATCAGTGACATTATTTTTATTGATTGATTTCTGTTGGTAAGACTAGCTTTTATACTCTCTCAATAGATTTCTTCTCTTGTTTCTGTTATCGCCATTTTTTTTTGTGGATTCTTCTTTCTTCTAAGCAACTTTAAAGGTTCTTTTCTTTATATGAATATGTTATTATTGGGGTACATCTAATCCTAATCCTACTTCTGTAGCAGGAAATGACCATACATTGGGTTTTGTTACTGGTGGGTCTGCTCATGTTCAAATGCAACTTAGCACCAAAGAGTGTGAGAGTCTGGGATTAACTGGTCTGGCTCTCTGCTTAGACTGCAACACCTTTGCTGAGTATGTCAAGGACCAAGGTTGTACCTTTATTATATGAATTTTGTTGATCCTCAGATATTTATGGTTTTTGGTGGATTTTACTTCTGGGTTTTGATGGGTTTTTTGAATTGATTACTTGCTGGTAAGTACATGGGTTGTAAAATGGTAATATTTGGGATTCTTGTTTCTGTACTATAGCTGATTGGTTGTCAAAATTAACGAATAGTGGGAGATAGATGCAATTCTTATTGCTTTTAGTTGATTTAAGGTCTGGGTTTTTTTTTGTTTGGATTTATGAATTGCTTATTTATATGTGAGATGTCAATGGTGATAATTTGGAAGGAGAACTTGAAAAAGGCTATGTTTTTATACAAATCAGATCGAGAGACTATGCTTATAACAGTAAATAAGTGTATTTTGACTTTTGTTGTTTTCACTATAATTTTTTGTGATTAAGTTTTGTCAAAATATGGATGGGTAAATAGTATTTTGGAAGATTTCTCTTTTTTCTTTTTGTACCTCAGATAGCTTAAGGATAATTGCAGAAATCGAAATAAGATCCTCATTGGGATTCTTAAATTATCTCATGCAATTAGTGGCGTTAAATTGTAATCTGTAGAATTCCAAGTAACTAGCCTGGATTATGGTGATGGTTCAGTTTTGTTGCTCTTGAGGATGTTTTGCACCTGAGCTGACGATGATCAAGGCATGCAAGAACAATAGTTCTACGATCATGATTTCCTAAGTTACGACTTGTAGTTCATTATATTTGATGATTAGGACCATACGCATTAAATTGGAATATTCTATTGGCATCCTTTATTGTACCAAATGAAGTACTATCAAGACAAATTCTGAATGGAAATATGCCATTTTTTGAAACCTATACCAGAGAACCCTTATTCTTCAACCCTTTTACATCCATTCTGGTGAATTTGAAAAATTTAAATAGCTGAAACTTGTGTAACAGAATTCATCAATTATATAATGACTTAGATTTGTTAAAGAATTTTGGATTGTAAGATTACAATAAACTTTTTGAACATTCTGCAATAATTTACTTAAGAGGAAGAAAATTGCTCATGTCGTCAAGAAATCCTGGATGTTTGACAAGATCTGCATTTAACATATCCAGTTTAGATGGCAACTTATATAGATTTCTGTATAATATTGGAATGATCTTTTTTAGCATTCCGCAAATAATATACTAAGTAGAATATGATAATCTGGAAAATCCGATGTTTGAAAAGACTCCGGATGCAGTTTAGATTTGTCAGTGCCTCTCAGAAATCTGCCCCTTGGCTTTACCTTAGGCTTAGAGATGGCTTGCTGGATTGGTCTATTTTTATCTATTGATTTTCATTGTGAATTTTTGTGTCCAAAGCTTGGTTTTGACTTTCTTGGTTTTGCATCTGCATCACCGCATGAAGCTGCAGCCGGGGAAAACTTCATTGACAGAGTTTTCATTATGGGTCTATAGAGACTGCATTTTGGAGATCTCTTTTGTATGTGGATAGGATTATATGTTATTTTAAAGTTTCTTTTATGCAAAAAAAAAGGAAAAAGAAAAAGAAAAAAAGATGTTAAATTTGTTGTATGTTGTTGACGTAAAACATATCTTGCATCTGCAATATTTTCATTGTATAATTATTTGATTTGGTTTTTCAAAACTCATTCATTGTCGTAATAAGATTTTAGACACGAGATAATGGCTTGTTTCTCTTATCAGTTATATGTAGATCTTTAGTCCATATTGTGTTGAATCCTGTATCTCTTGCTATTATGTAGTCATCTTTATCGTGTTGAATCCTATTTCTCTTGCTATTATGTGGTCGTTTCTATATTTTACAATTAAATAGGCTTCTTATCCGACATATTTGAGTATTGCTCTCAAAAAGTTGAGCTTCCTCTTGAATTTGTTCATGAGTGGCACATTTTTTATGCACATCAAATCATGGCAAATACAGTTAGTCGATGCAAGATGACGTTACATGGTATATATTACTTTGAAATTTATGACATTGCCAATCCTATTCAATTAGTAGGTAAAGCAAAAAATGACTTTTCGTCACTTAGTCACTAAGTTAAAATTATGGCTTATTTTCGCTGCTTAATAAAATTACAAAAACCTAATCCTAAAGATTTTGGTGCACCTTTATATAACTTTTCATGCTTATTATCTAAATTTGAATAATTGGACATTTCTGGGCAAGTCTAAAAGTTACACCGCACATCGCGCGGTATTATCCTCCTAGTTCCCTATAAAGTATCAGTGGTCTTTTGCTCAAGCTCAAATTTAGACTTTATAGGGCTTGAACTTGTGCTTCATCAAGCCCGACCGGTTATTGATGTTAATCAAAGTCGAGCTTGAGTATATTATCAAATTGTCCGTATGACACTAAAGTGTACCAAACTTAAGCTATTCAATTGAGTAGCCAAAATATAATGTTGAATGTATATATTGGTTAAAATTAAAAGAATCAGATAGCCATAAGGATATGGGATAATTTCAAAAACCTCCCCTGAGGTTTTTGACAATTGTAGAGAGCCCTTACTTTTACTATTTATATAATAATATATGCCCAAAAAACTATATTTTTCTCAAAAATCCTAAACCACCTTTTTCGTACAAAAATAAAACAAAAATTATTTTGCCAATTGCTTTCTTCCACATTTCAACCAAACCCACTATACTAACAAACTAACCTAACAAATAGTCTAATTCCAAATTCTAAACCCAAACAATTCCATCATCATAGTCGTAAAATTGCTTCTTCCAAAGCATGCATTCAATTTTGAAGATTCGTTCCCATCCTTTAAAAATATTCTCACCATATGGTTCCATGGAATGGTCAAACTTACAATCAACTGTCCCTTGTGTTTGCATAATTTCAACATAGGATGTCATGGTTTGGTTCCATATAAGTGGTTCAACTCCTATTACATGAGCCACATTATGGCCTTGAAGAAAATCTTTAGGGGAAATTTAGGCATGGATAGGATTAATCAAGTTTAAGAGAAGGAAGGCATCATTATAACTATAGATATCTTCAAGAAATTCATTTTGCCAAAAACCAAAATTCTATTTGCAACTAATCACACCCTAAACTTCAAAACCCAATGCTCACACCTTCTGAAAACAAAATAATCTAGCCTACCATCAAATTTCCAAACATATTAACATCTTAAATATAGAGAAGAAACTCTATCTCTATAGTGAAATCATAACCAACAATTGTCAAGCATAAAAAGAAATATAAATGTACTTATTAACATCTTAAAAAGTTTTTTAGATGGATGATAGACAAATTAGCAAATTTACCAATTTCAGTCCCTCTTCCTCTTTTGGTCAATGATTGCATTATTTGTTCCATTATTATTGTGTGCGTCTTCATCTCCTTTTAGTTTGACCATGAAATCGGATTTTACTTCAACCATCAAATCTAATCCCTTAACTAAACTTGTGATTTGACAAATTCCAAATAGAAGAAAGGAGGAATCGGAATATATAGTAGAGCTTGAGGGATCTCTTGTGGTATGATTGGCTGCAGTTATAGGCAATGGTTTATGGTAATTTGAGAGCGAATTATAGGAGGAAGGGGTTAATGGATGAGAACGGGGTAATAGCAAGTGAGAGAAAATCGTCGTTGGTTGTAACTTATAAACAGAATAGCTAAAGAAGTCAGGTTTCTTTATTTTTTTTTTTAATCTTATTTCATTATACTGTGAATTATTTATTAAGTGAAGGTCATTATAGTCATTTTATTGTGACAAGAGAGGCCAGTGTAATTTGTAAAACCTAAGGGGAGCGGAGTGAAATTGTCATAAACCTCAAGAGAGGTTTGTGAAATTATCCCTAAGGATATTGTAGTGTTTTTCTTTTTTTTCCAATAAGAGAAGGGTGGGATTTAAGAAGTAAGGAGGAAGAAGAGAATTTGAAACTAGTACCTCTACGTCCCAAGATACTGTAGTTAAAAACTCAATAAGCCTCATGTTGTATATGCACAATAGTGCCATTTTTATTGACTTCAGCTTGGACTACAGGCAGGTGCTGTAATAATTTGGTATAATTGTGTATGGTTGATAGAGTTTGTTGGAGTCTGTCTTCTAATTAAATCTGGTTTAGGCCTAGTGTTTTAAAACCATTGATTAAAATCCAATACACGTCCCCCATATACAGAAATGTATTGTGGGAAACTGGAGGCTTACTCTACCGGAGATGAGTCTAATCCTATCTTGTTATACATATTAATTTTGTTCATATATATCAAATCTTATAAAAATATAACTATTTATACGAATATATACCAAATCTTATAAACGGATAGTAACACCTCCACATCTATGTCAGCCATCTAGTAATTTCCACGTTTAAGTTCCAAACTTATGAGCCCTTGCTTATTTATTTATTTTTTGCAAAATTTTCATTGTAGATTTTAAAAATTTTTATTTTTCTTTTTAACCCTCTTTAAACAAAAATTGAGAAAACCCGTAAACCAATTGAATAAGATGCCTTCTAAATTACTGAATGATAAAGGAAAATTTGTGAAGCAAAAAAAAAATCATAGGATGCTCAAAAATCAAATTATCTTTTCAATACTTTGCTTGGTTTAAGTACAATGTTTATTTCTTTACTATATGAATTTATTTCCAACTTATCAAATTGCATATTAAACTTGTAATTCTACATAATTGGAACTAGTGCTTTTGATGAGTGTCATATGATTAAATATTATGTGTTACAAGTTTTAAATTTTTGCAACCGGAGGAGGAAACCAGTCAGTGGACGAATTAAAAGCACAATTAAAATGTCTAATTGTCATTGTATGTCATAATGACATTGTGGGTTGACCATATTCTTGAGATGCTGAAAATTTGACATCACCAACATATAAATTAATGTCAATGTGAAATTAAAGACAGCCATTATATTTGTATTATCTAATAATATTGCTTTATTGTTGATTGGCAATTAGATGTCTCAAACTTTGAAGGATTTCCAATTGTGTAACTATATCTACTCGTTAGTTTATTTCTCGTCAAATCAATTATTTTAGCTTTATATAACCCCTCTAATAATATATGTCTTGCTTCAATCTTCAAAATTTTATCGTCTTTGACAAAGAGCAACATTCTTAGGAGTCAAAATATTTACCTAATTTATCTTTTAACTTTTCAAAAGCAACTTACATAAAATGAAAGTAGTCTTTAATCAAAAAATGTTATTTACATTAAGGGTTAATCTATTCCATGCCCTGAGAGTACAAAACAAACGGAAGCTCGAGTAGTCTGGTTACTTTATCTAAAATAGCTTATATTTTTTAGGTTAAAGTTTACGAAA